TGTGATTCATCTAGCCCAGCCTTTTGCACAATGTACTCTGCATATAAGTTAAATAGGCAGGGCGACAGTATACAGCCTTGCTGTACTCCTTTCCTAATTTTGAACCAATCAGTAGTTCCATGTCCAGTTCTCACTGTTGCTTCTTGACCCACATACAGGTTTCTCAAGAGACAAATAAGATGGTCTGGTATTCCCATCTCTTTAAGAACTTGCCACAATTTGTTGTGATCCACACAATCAAAGGCTTTAACATAGTCAGTGAAGCAGAAGTAGATGTTTTTCTGGAACTCCTTAGCTTTCTCCATGAACCAGTGTATGTTGGCAATTGATCTCTATTTCCTCCATCTCTTCGAAATCCTGCCTGTAGTTCTGGTAGTTCTCTTGACAAAATTCTACCAGCCTGTGCCCTGCTTCATTTTGTACTCCACGGCCAAACTTGCCTGTTATTCTGGTTATCTTTTGGCTTCCTGCTTTAGCATTCCAGTCCCCCATGATAATATTGACACCATTTTTTGGTGTTAATTCTAGAAGGTGTTAGGCCTTCATAGAACCAGTTAACTTCAGCCTCTTCAGCATCAGTGGTTGGGGCATAGACTTGGACTACTGTGATGTTGAATGGTTTGCTTTGGATTCAAACTGAAATCGTTTTGTCATTTTGGAGATAGTATCTCAGTACTGCTTTTCCTACTCTTTTATTGAGTATGAAGGGTACTCCATTTCTTCTGAGGGATGCTTGCCCACAGTAGTATACCTGATGGTCATCTGAATTAAATTCACCCATTCCTGTCCATTTTAGTTTGCTGATCCCCAAGATGTCAATGTTAAGTCTTATCATCTCATGTTTGACCACGTCCAGCTTACCTTAATTCATAGTTCTTACATTCCAGGTTCCTATGGAGTATAGATCTTTACAGCATCAGACTCTCCTTTCATCACCAGATACATCCACAACTGAGTGCACTTTTGGCTTTGACCCAGCCACTTCATTCTTTCTGGCGCTACTCCTCTGCTCTTCCCCAGTAGCACATTGGACACATTCCAGCCTGAGGGGCTCATCTTCTGGTGTCATCTCTTTGCCTGTTGATACTGTCCATGGGGTTTTCATGGCGAGGATACTGGAGTGGGTTGCCATTTCCTTCTCCAGTGGATCACCTTTTGTCGGAGCTCTCTGCTATGACCTGTCCGTCTTGGGTGCCCCTGCACGGCATAGCTCATAGCTTCATGATCCATGAAGGGGTTATGTACCTTTAAGTACATGAAAAAACATCCTTGACTCCTGACCTTAGAACTGAATACATAGAAACTTTGTGACCTTTCCGGGGGGGGGGGGGGCAGTGGGATGATAAACATCATGTGCTGTGAGGCTTTCATGCACAGTCACCAGTTATGTGACTTAGATGCAGGACAGGCGCCAGGGCAGGGCAGGCAGGTGCAGTGTCACTGCCCAACTCTGCTTGCCATCCAGATATACTCAGAGTGACAAATGTTAGCCAGCATGTTTGAGGAGAGGAAGAGGGTGGGATATCTTAATGCAACGTTTTTAAGCAGGTGGTGCTCTTTACTTTGTATCTCAAGGTCTGCCAGGGAGGGCCTGGGTAAGCAAGAGAGAGAGAGAGAAGGACCCAGTTTTGTTTGGCATTTCATTATAACTGGAGAGAAAGGGGTAAGAAAGTGGGTGGGCCTTTCTAAACCCTATGTTTTATTGCACGTGGTAAGCTGCTGTTGTTTTTAGGGCTAAAAATCTTTGTCAGAATAATGTATGAGCTGGGAAGAAGTGGTGCAGAAAACTTTTCTGATCTTGATTTGCCAAGCGGCAGTGAAAGAATTCAGAACCATCCGTGCTTTTTGACCACTGATTTTGTTCACCTGTTGCCTCTTGTTATCATGAGCTTCCAGGCGTTTCTGCCACACACATAAGAATAGAAGCTGTAAATCTGGGTGGCAAAGTTCTTGTCCTTCCCAGCGCTGACAGACTTATGGAGGAGTTTGGAAAAAAAAAAGGATTGAGTTCAGTTGGAGAGCAAGAAAAACTCTTGTGGAGAAATGTCAAGTACAATTTAAGATGTAGCAGTTGTGTTTGTGGTCTTTAATGATGTTGGCTTTGGGGGCAATTTGTCACTTTGTGTATTTGAGGCAGGGGACTGTGGCCATGGCCTGGTATCCTGATGAAAATGCATGTTTTACATCTTTAGGTGTATGTGCACAAGTGTTTAATCACAGATGAACCCATGAGAATAACAAGGTCAGTGAAGGCTTGGTCTTGCTCAGAGTCTACAGAAACCCTGGGACTCATTTATAGATGGAAGAAGAACAATGCTGTTGAAACACACCAGTCTTGAAGCAAAAAGGTGCTCACTGCCCTGAGACACTGTAAAGGGCAGGATAAATATTGTTTTAAATAAATAAGTGTTGTTAAAAAGTGGGATATTAATCTGAAAGACTTAACAAACAAGACTGCCTGTTGGCAAAAAAGAATCCTTTTTTTTAATTAAAGACTTGAGCAAGGCAGTGAAGTAAAGAAGCTGGTAGCAAATGAAATAGTCAGAGACTGATAGTTAAAACTTTATTCCAAGCAGGAAAAAGCTCAGTTGATCAGGCAGTTTTCATGGGATCTTATTAGAAGTAGTGATAAGAAACAGTCCAAGTTTGCTGGAATGGTGTAAAACTTTATTACTAAACTGAAGCTGTGGGGAGAATTGACTAACTCAATGAAAGCTTACCACTAGGGAGTCCCACCACCCCCAGAGCTGCACACAGAGTGACAAGAGCCCATATACATAGACAACAGACAGCTGACATGACCTTTCCCATACAAAGTGCTTCTACTGTAACTATGCACAGAGCACAAACCAAAAACATTCTCAGAAGTTCTCAACAACAGCAGATTCCTCAACTGCCAAACGTAGCATGTAAAAATTCAGTTGGCTCAGCAGAGCTCTAGACCAAGAGTTCTCGACCTTTTATCTTCATGCCCCCCTCATTTACCTCTGTGACCCTCCTTGTAATCGCTGTTAGATGGAAAAAGGTACTTTACCATCTATACTGTGGCTCCCTAGGAATCTGGCATTTACTATGCCCCTCCCAAGATATGGTATAGCTCCCTGGGGGGCTGTATGGCCCACGTTGAAAGCCACTGCTATAGACAAGAGACAATACAAGGAACGTGTCACTGAGCCACAGGGTTCCACTAAGCTCATTTGTAATTGAGGCACTGCTAGTCACTGAGCTTTCCCATGATGCACCCAGGGCATCATGGCTTAGCTTAAGTCCCAGACCTGATCAGCAGCTCCTGAAAGACAAACATTAAACAAACAACCAAGATGTTCTTGGTTAGCAGATGTATAATTTGGTATACATTGCACAGTTAACACTCACTAAAGCTTCAGAAACCCAGTAGAAATTATGTGTTTCCCTTATTACCCTGATCTAAGGGTAATTTTAGAGAACTATTTCTCTAAGCTTGGTGCGCCAGATACCCCATGAGACATTAGCTCCCATGGTTTCTCAAGCAAAAGATATAGACCTGGGGAAAAGGCCCCTAAGCTTATCCTCCGTGTTTCTCAAACCAGCTCCTAGGAAGGGAGAACAAGCCCATTCGTACTTACATATGCAGCTTAGACTGGCCAGGTAAAAGCATAATGTGAATGTGGATCAGGAAGGAGATATTTGCTGATCTACGCAATCCTCTCCTGGTGCCTTCAAAAAGCCTCTTTGGATGGCACAGGATTTATGCTTTCTTGGTGGGAGAGAGCCCAAGATCTTTAGAATTCCTTAGAGTTGATGGTTGCAAATGGCAGAAATGGTCCCATGCAGAACCTACTTCCTGGGAGGATGTTCTTTACAGCAGGAATGTGACACCTTACCCATAATTTCCAATGTCTCTATCATTAGGCTTGTAAGTCTTCTAATAACTTGCAACATCTGTTCTTCTGCCCTGCCTGTGATAGCCAACCTCTCCTTTTAAGAAATTGTCCATTATTTTCTTTATCGAGCCCATTTGCCTTTTCTTCAACATATTTTCTCCTTCCACTGGCCTTGCCTGTAATACAAAAGCCATTCTTTCTCTCTTCTCGTCTTCCTCTGCATATATAATTCCTGAGGGAACAGACACAACTGATAACATAACTTTGTTAATTGCAACAATTACATAAACTTAAAAAAGATCTCTTCCTAGGGCTTTACAAGTGCATGAGCCAAAGAAAAAGCTTCAAGGGCATTTTGAAAACATCTAGACTTAAAAACATTTAATCAAACTGTCATATAGCAAGAAGCAAAGTATTGTGGGGAATGGTATATTCTTACTCTTATTTTCAAATATATATTAATTCCCAACCTGTAGGTCTAACTTACATTGTACTAATTAAATATGCATTTAATCACATAAGTAGGAAATGAGCAAAGATGATTAAAAGAAATCTAAAACCCTATTTTATATGTAAAATCCAAGTTTCCCCCATGTCAAGAGGACAGAGTAATTTAAGGTACATAACAAATTTCAGATAACAAAATACAGCCATATTTTATTATTCGAGGAGGGAAATCAGCAAGTGAACCGGAAGAAAACGTATTAGGGTGCAGTCCAGTGTCAGTTTTAGACAAGTAAAAAGGCCTACAGCTCTTTAAATAGTCATACAGTTGTACCTTTAGATTGTTGGGCAAGCAGTTGTAGATATATGTAACATTTCTGCATTTTGTTCAATCTGCATTTTGATACTTCAGACTCCAAGGCTATAGATTATATGTTGGGGGGAAATCCAGTGAATTTTGTTCCTGTCTTTCATTTTTCTTCTGATAAACCAACGGTGATAAATACTCGGCGAATAGCATGTCTCAGAAGAATAAAGCATAGGAATATTCTAGTGCATTACCAGTCCTAGGACAAAATGATATCTATAATCTTTTAATGATTATAATACCTCAGATTTGCCAGAAAACCAACAACTAGAATTTTGAGCACAGGATATTTTGGTGACCATTTAATGTTCATTCATATTTTTCAGGTGGGAGGTTACTGATTCCAAATCTGAATACAGAATTAGACTGAACCAGTGTATTGAAGATGCAGTGATGAGTTTCTTCCTATTTCTCCAAGAAATGTCTCACTTTAAAGATCAGAATCCTGGCAAGGTAAAATGAGGCTTGCAATTTATCTGATTTCAATTAATACACTTACTGGTGGTTTCTGTCAGTAGAAGGGGCTTTAATCCAGTGTTGCTCTGACAAAGGCTATGAGCATAACAGAACTTTCTCCCCGTCTTCTGTCCCAACCCTCTGAACTGCCTGAAACTTCAAGTTTTCCAAACCTCCCAGAGCAGATTTTAAGACGCATCGATGGTTGCAAGGTGGGGAGGGGGAGATAGCCCCTTCCTAGTTCTGCTGGCAGAACTGCTTCTGTTTATGGAATGCCATAATTAGATACAACCAGATGTCAGTAAATAAAGATATTAACCTGCAGTCCTGTACCTGCCTACATAAAACTAATTTCCACTGAGTTCAGTGTGCCTTACTTCCAGATAACTGGGTCTCAGTTTTTATTCCTCTAGAAATTACTGGAACAGTTTAGGGCTGCAGGGAAGTGTAAATGGTTTGTGAATTGTTAAGAAATTTAATGGAAGGAAATCTTACAATTTCTTGCCATTTTTATGAGTACCCCTGGTTTGATAGCATGAAGTGCAGTGCAGTTTAGTTGCTGCAGGTGGCCATGTGTGTTCCCTCAGAGATGCCATGTGTTGTCCAAGAAGGATGCTCTAGGGTCCCTTACCATATTTGGAGAGGATGTTGGAGCACGTGGATTGTCCTTGGCTGCACCTTTCCTGAAAGCCATGTGGCAACATTCTCTCCAGCCCGACAAGCACCTTTCCCAGTGTACTTTTCATAATGCAGCTGGGGATGGCAAAATACGGTACAACCAGATCTCACTATGAACTTGCAGTTAGGTCTCCAGTAGGATTGGACAATTACAGAGCCTTAAAATTAATAATGTGGGAAAACCAGCTAAGTATTTGTTTGTTTGGGGAGGGTTGCAACTAGCAGCAGGAATGACCTGACTTCTACTATTGAGCTGCCTTCTACATAATAAATAGGGAAATACCAGTTTCTAGAAGAAGTTGCCTACATGTGGATATGGGATCTAAAATTAGATGACCCTGTTAGCTTTGTCAGAGGTCAAACCTGTCTTGCTTAAGAGTTACACACGCACAGATCTCTCTTGCAGCTAAGGAGTGTCTGAAGTAGGAGTGGCGAGTCAGATACTCTGGACACAGGGGCCACAGAACACAAGCCCCCTACCTCCCAAAACTCTTCAAAAGCTCCTACTACATCTCTGGTATCCCACTTTGCCAGAGTCTTCACAATGTCCAGTACCCTGGCAATGTGAGGCAGGGGTTTTGAGTGGCAGGCGCTGTCCCTATCCCCATGGCCGTATCTTACTGCTGTTATCCTTCTCCACAATTTCATTTAGAGCGGAAGGGAGGGCTCAGCCCCCTCGTTAAGCACCATAGTGATGAAGGATGAGTGCAACTGAGTTACAGAAAAAACTTGGTGCAAGTACACCACCACACAGACAAATCTCTTTTTGTGGAGCAAATAATAAAGAAGAGACAAAGAAACAGAACCACTTTTTTCCCTCCGCATGAGCATCTGCTTATCCAGTTTATACACATTCTGCCGTCTGACATGATGAGCATTTTCCTGTCTCTTCTAATTCTTTTACGGATAATAGTGGCTGATCACTTTAGAACTATTTTATGAATATGGCAACAATGATCTAATTACTACTCATTGCCCTTTTTTTTAACAGTTTTGCCTTCTGGTCTGCAGTGTGTGTACATTCTTCACGATCTTGGGAAGTTACATTCCTGGAGTTGTACTCTCCTACCTTCTATGTAAGTTCCTTCTGATTCTCAAGAAGTGGTTTTCAATGAAGATGCCCAACAAGAGAGCAAAATTATATTTTCCCAGCAGCAAAAAATTGTGATGCAAATGTGCAATTGACAAAGCTGAAGTTGTTTCTGAAGCATAGAAATCTGGCTCACTTGTGTAAAAGAAGCAAGAAGTTAGCATTTATTTCCATTAAAAGCATGCTAATATACTTCCATGGAGCTTTTGGATACAGTAAATGCAGGCTTCTCTGTAATTAAGTCCAATGGGACTTACATCTGAGTAATGCATATGATTGCAGTGCTAGACTGTTTAGGATGGTTCGTGTAATTATACAAAAAAATTCAGCAATCCTTTAAATGGTAATATCCTCAATATGACTGTTTTTATCTTGGAAGATTATTATTATATTGCATTTACATCTTTCCTTTTGTACTTTTGTGCAAAACCCAACACAGCTTACAAAGTTCTCCACTCCATTTTTATCCTCACAACAACCCTTTCGGGTAGGAGGCTGAGGAGCAGCGATTGGCCCAAAGTCACCCAGTGAGCTTCATGGTCAAGTGGGAACTAGAACCTGGCTCTCCCAGGTCCACCACTCTTAGCACCACACCAGCTTTCCAGTGGGAGCTTGAGACTGAAAGGCAAGCTTTCCTAGGGAAATCTAGTGAGCTTTATGGCAGAGGAAGTATTTGAAACGCAGATTTCCTAGTTTGAAGCTCAGTCCCCTAGTCACAGTGCTCTACTACCGCTTTATCCCAGATTCCATAGCAAGGTACTTCAATGCTACCATTTCCACTCGGAAATACTCCCGGTGCTTCATGTAATGGTTAACTTGCATGTACTTTGACTATAAATTCTTTTACATAGAAATCATTTTACATCTTTTAAGAAGTCTTTCTGTTGACTCAAACATATACTACTCGTACCTAGTCATTGTAAAATTATGTAATATGCCTGTTGTTCTCCTTTTCCTTATAGTACTATGTGCCTTCTTATGTCCACTCTTCAAATGCAATGAATTTGGACAGAAGGTGTATAGCAACATGAAGTCATTTTTCCTGAAACTGGACTTCGGTGTTAGGGACTATGTCAACCAAAAACTGAAAGAGAGAGCTGGTAAGCAAGCTGCTGGAAGATATGTTCCCCCATGTAATTACAGTTTCCTTTGTGAATATTAATAGGAAAAATAGGTGCGCTTCTTTTGTCAATCTATTCTTCAATATAAATAGGTATGAAGAAGTATAAGGTAGAAGGGTAAGCTTTCAAAATGAAATAATATTCTGTCTCATAGAAAGTTTACTACTTTTGAGCTGTTAACCACAGTGTACATGAAATTTGATATATAAATAGCATATTATGCACATGTCTTTAATGCAAATTATAAATGGGTCTTTTGCATTGGATTGTTTTTATTCTGCTCTGTTTTAAATTCTTTTAATTGTGGTTTAATGGTTTTTTCTCAGTATTGTTATGAAGTTTTATTAGTGGCTCTAAGTTGCCTTAAGTGCCATTTTTGGTAGAAAGGTGCAGTACAAATCAAATCAAATACTGTGACATTATATTTATATCCAAACTGTTTTGCTCTTACAAGCAACCCAAGGCAGCTTACTAGGTTCTCTTTCTCCCAGTTTAATCCTCACAACAACCCTGTGATGTAGGTTAGTCTGAGAATGAGTTGCTGACCCAAAGTCACTCCATGGTCAAATGGGGACTAGGACCCAGATCTCCAGAGTCCCAGTCCAGCATTCAAACCACCATGCCACACCGACCCTTTTTAAAGAATCAATATGGCAGAAAAAAAAAAGACTAGAAATGCTTGACTGGCTCAGTAGGTGGGGAAGGTTAATTAACTATAATCTTCTTTTGCAGAAATGATAAAAACAAAGCAAACAGAAGATGACAGTGAACTAGACATATCAGCTCTGTGTCCTAAGGTTGGCTGGCTCATATACTAAGTTCTCTGGACTACAAATAAATATTCTGATTGTTCTCTTGCTGTCTGAGAAAAGCTTATTTCCCTAATAATTCCTCACATCACTAAGCATGTGTGCTAAACAGTTCTAAATTCTAAATAGTTTCTGATGACCTGAGCCCATGTATATTTACTCAGAGGCTTGTTTCATTGAGACCAAAGGGAACTTACTCCCAAGTAATTATGCATAAGATTGCAGCCTTGAGTAATTTGAGAAGCATTCTTTCTCTAAACCATTTTTTGGCATGAGATGCTTTTCCTGTTAAAGCTACAGGCCTTGCCATAAAACAGGTCTGGCCTTCAATCTCCCCACCCAGGTAGAAACAGGCCCTTGAATACAGTCTCTAACAGTATGTTCAGGTGGCCATAGGATTTTTCAGATTTCCAGCCACAGGTGGGAAAGTTCCTCAGCACTCCTAGCTGAGGATCCATGCTTGGATTCCCCCACCCCCTTTTGCAGGTAGCATAGAAAGAACCATGCAGTCCGTGCTCCTCCCCTTCTGTATGAGATACCTGCAGTCTTCCCAGTTTGGAGGACTGGGGGGGACCCCATAGGATTGCACAGTCCCTGTTGCTCTTCAGCATCCTGAGTTTTCAGGTGTGAGTGTCAAAAGGCCTGCACAGCCATTAAGGTGCATGCCAGAGTGACTCTAGGATCCCTTTAGCCCTTTCCCTGTGACACGGGGTCCCACCTGCTCTTTACACTTTCTGTTTAAGATCTAAATAAGGGCCAATGTTCGTAATCTTGAACTGTGCTGGGGTAGTTTTGCAGCCCTCCAAATGTTTTGGTCTATACCAGCATTCATCTCTCACCATTAAATATGGTTGATGGAAGTTGTAAGCTAAAACACTGAGAATCATTTCAAATTATCCCTGATGTGTGCAGATGTGTACACCTCAATTGTGTGCTGTACAAATTGTACCAAAAGGGCATGTGCACAGGGGTTCTGACGCAAGTAAACAATAAATGAAATATGTAAATATTGTGCGGTAGCTCAGTGAAGATACGGCAAACCTGATCCCCTGAACATCTACTTTGGGCACCTAAAATTCTAAGGATACTTAATTGGACCTATTTTTACCTATTTACTCATACTTCATTATAGCATGAGAAATATTATTGAAGATCTGTTGCAACACATGTTTAGATTAGGTGCAAGTATAGAGGGCTGAGTTACCCTCAAAGTTCTTGCATTCCTTTTTTGTCATTACTGCTTGTAGATGAACTATTAATTGTAGAAAGTGTTGTGTTCCTAGCTTGTCTAGCAAATGATGAGAATATACACATATCTTCACCATTCTCACAAGTTTTGCTTTTTTAGTTCAAGCAAACGCACATTTAATATGTACTGAAGCAGCTGTATAACTGAGTTTTGAATTGCTGCTGGGATTCCTTTGTTCCTTGTATCTATAGTTAAAAGTTTTACGTTTCCTGAGGATGTAAAGGGATAGCTTCCCAGGTTTTAAACGTGTAGTTACTCAATTTAGTCCACAGTTAAGGAGTGCTGCAATTGATACTTTGGTTTTTCAAAATACAGGTTAGCCCTGCAGTTGTAGCCAAAGAGATGTCTGTATCGGATACTGACATATCAGAGGTATCTTGGACTGACAATGGGACTTTCAATCTATCAGAGGGAAACACTCCGCAGACAGATACATCCGATGGCATGTATTTTTTCAAGTCTTCCAGCATTCTAGCAGTCTAACTGTTCTCATTCTCAAATACATTTAGTTTAGTTTGGATTACATCCCATGTTGGTCCTATTTAGAAAAGACTTATTGAAATAAATGATTTTGCAGTATTTATTTATTTATTTAAAACATTTCTATGCCGCCCCCATCGCAACAAAGCCTCGGGGCAGCTCACAACATACATAAAATACAATCAATAATTTAAAAACTGGTACCATCTCGGCTATATATTAAAATCTATAAATACAATAATAATAAATTAACAGTTAAAATAACTTTTAAATAAAAAGGTCTTCGCCTAGCTCCGAAAAGCAAATGACGGCGCCTGGCGGACCTCTCTGGGGACCGCATTCCATAGGTGGGGTGCCACCGCAGAAAAGGCCCTGCTCTGGGTACTCACCCTCCTAATATCCTTCACAGGGGGTTCCCGGAGAAGGGCATCCGCTGCCGAACGTAGGGGGTGGGCGGGCATATATGGACGCAGACGTTCCTTTAGATAACCAGGACCCAAGCTGTTAAGGGCTTTATAGGTCATAACCAACACCTTGAATTGGGGCCGGGCTTCAATCGGGAGCCAGTGAAGCTGACGGAGAACTGGGGTTATATGAGAACAACACCCAGTCCCCGTCAGCAACCTGGCAGCTCTATTTTGCACCAACTGAAGTATCCAGATCGTCTTCAAGGGCAGCCCCACGTAGAGTGCGTTACAGAAATCTAGTCGGGAAGTTACCAACGTATGGGTCACTGTCGCCAGGCAGTCGTTCTCCAGATAGGGACGCAGCTGATGGATCAGCCGGAGCTGAAGGAAGGCGCTCCTCACCACCGCCATCACCTGAGCTTCTAACAACAGCTCAGGGTTGAGGAGCACTCCCAAGCTGCGAACCCTGTCCCTCAGAGGGAGTGCAACCCTATTTAGGGCAAGGCCTGAGTCCCCCACCCCGAAGCCCGAACCACCCACCAACAGAACCTCCGTCTTATCTGGATTGAGCTTCAGTTTATTGGCCCTTGTCCAGCCCATTACCTCAGCCAGGCATCGGTTCAGCACAGCCACTGCCTCACCTGGATTGGTGAAGAATGAGAGGCAGAGCTGGGTATCGTCAGCGTACTGATGACTCCGCAGCCCACACCTCCTGATGACCTCTCCCAGCGGTTTCATGTAGATGTTTAATAGCAAGGGGGACAAAATGGACCCCTGCGGAACTCCATGGCATAACTGCCATGGTGCAGAGCCATAGTCCCCCAGCACCACCTTCTGGAATCGGCCGTTGAGATAGGAGCGGAACCACTGCAAAGCGGTGCCTCTGACCCCCAATCCCACTAGCCCATCCAGAAGGATACCATGGTCGATCGTATCAAAAGCCGCTGAGAGGTCCAGGAGAACCAACAGGGACGCACTCCCCCTGTCCTTCTCCCTGCACAGGTCATCGTACAGGGCTACCAAGGCAGGTTCAGTACCGTACCCGGGTCTGAAGCCGGACTGAAATGGGTCCAGATAATCAGTTTCATCCAAGAGTGCCTGGATTTGTCCTGCCACCACCCACTCTAGCACCTTGCCCAGGAATGGAATGTTGGCCACCGGTCTATAATTGGCAACCACCCCTGGATCCAGGGATGCCTTCTTTAGACAACATTGGATACAACCTATGTGATGCAAGCCTGGAGCTTCTCCTAAACAGATGTTTTTGTGTTAATGCAAAAGCAAAAAAGCAAAAGCACCCCACCACACCCCTATACTAGGTGTATTCAGAATGAATTTTTCAAAATTACTTTAAATTATTTCCCTTTTCTCAAAATATCTGTTCTGTTTTGTTATATACATCTTCTAACTATACAATAGCAGTGTCCCCTTTTCAGTTTCTCATAAAGATGAAAATAGAATGCAAAACAGGGGAGGGGGGAAGTTTAGGTGTGCTTGATGTTTTGGAGTCACTTAAGATATTAACATGAGTATTTAAAGCCCTAAATAGCTTGTGGCCAGGTATATAAAAGAATGCCTTTTCCCATATGTACCTATCCGGCCCCTTAGATCTGTATCTGAGGGAGCCCCCTCCTCAGGATATAAGGGTGGCAACAAGAAGAACCTTTTTGGGAGTGGCACCACAACTCTGGAATGAGCTTCCGAGAGAGGTTCACCTGATGCCCTCTTTATATTCCTTTCAGTCAAAGATTTTTTTGGTGTTAATCTGTTTTTAAGGGTATTTTAATAGAATGTGATATGCCTTTTATAAAATTATTGGTTCTGCAGAGGTAGGATGTACTTACTTGTTTATTTTTATTTGATTATTATGTTTTATATTGTTTTACATGGTTTTATTATTGTGACCCACCCAGGGAGCCATGCAGCTAATGGGGTGTGCTAGCAATCAAATAATAAATAATAAAATAAGTAGGCATAAACCTAGATGGGGGGTGTCCAGGAAGCTCATGTAAGAAAGGAATAAAATACGTCAAAAGAAATTGAACTACATTGAAATAAGTTGCAGCGTATTGGTTGCCTGTGTATAAACCTTTCCAGATAAAAACCACCTTTAATCCTAACTTGCAACATGGAATCCAGCTGCTTTTTTTTTAAACACTTCTCTAGATCTGTCAATTTTCCTTTTCCTCCCAACTTCAGTCATGGCACTGCTAGTATAACCTGTATTACATAGGTGAATCGCATAATTTCATCAGTTACAATGTGTAACGATTTTCACATTATTCAGTCCTTCTAATTTGACTTATAGACCAACATTTGAGAGTTTGATTACAACTTGAGCAGAAGTGGCTTTTATTGATGGTGCTAAATAAGCCACCTTGAGTTCTTCGTAAGAATAAAGATGATGAGACATTTCTCAAGGAAATTTAGTATTTCTTTAGGAAACTGCAGCAGCTGGTCACAGAAACAAAATTGCAGATGGTTGTTGTGGGGCCTTCTCATTTATAACAGCTTCTTCTGTTAATCATTTAATAGATTTTGATCGACCAAGTGATCACGAGGAAGCTTTTGCAAAAGATCTTGCAGAATTTCCATCTGTAGAAAACGGTGCAGGAACAAATGATGAGGATGATTCGAGCCTTGGCTTGCCTGTCCAGCAAGACAGAAAAAAGGACCATCGCCCTGCAGCAGCAGATCAGGGTACCAGGGAAGCCAAGGAGGGGCACTCTGCAGCAGGCCTCTCCTTGCCTCTGATCAATGACCAGGCCTTCAACTTAGTAAGAGCCATTGCCAGCGATGTTGTTACATCCGTGGTGTCAGCAGCTGTCAGAGACCAGTTGCAGTCTATCCAAGCAGAGCCAAATTTAAATGAAGAGACAGACACAGAGGAAGGAGATGATTTTGAACTTCTTGACCAGTCGGAGCTGGAGCAGATGGAAAGTGAACTGGGGCTTACCAAAAGCCAAGAGGCAGAACCGCAAAAAAAGAAGAAGTCCTCAGGCTTCCTCTCAAACCTGCTTGGGGGCCATTAATGTGGAAACTGGAGGTGCTTAATCATATAGCAAAAACAAAATATAGACAACATGAAATGCAAAAAAAAAAGAAAAAAGATGAGCTGTAGGCTTTATTATTTTAGATGTGCTGTAATGTCCTTCATGCAGAGTGAACTAACTTGTTATAGCTGACTTGATGGTGGTAGTTTTGTTTTTGATAGTGATGACATAGAAGTGAAAAACCTGTCCCATTATTTTGTCTCAAAGGAATTTAAGAGGCAAGAATTTTAAATATACAGATATGTTAAAATTGCCAAATGTAGCTCTCCTTTTGGCTGTAACCAAATCCTCTTCACCTCCAGCCTGTTTACTCTTACTTTTCAAACATTTAGGCAGCAGTGCTTCAGGGAGAGGAAATATCAAGAGGAATCAAGAAGCCATCATATCCTAGTTGCCTACTATGTAGCAGAATATTTCAACCTCAAGAGTAAACAAGTGTCTGGACCCTTTTTTCAAATATCTCTGATGGGCTAATCCAGACACCATCAGAATCAATTGTCATATTTCGTGTTGCCTGTTCTAAGCCCCAGATATTCTTGTGGCTAGGCAGTGTGAGGCATTTTCAATTATGTCCATTCTTACAGGCTTTGGAGCCGGACAAAATGGTGAGATTTCATGCTTCCACATACTGTCTCGTATTAGACCCACAGAGGAAAACAAAAACATTATGTCTGAGATATATATGCCATCTACATGTAGCATTTGTATATGTGGAGTGGGGCTGGATTTAGGGGTGGGGGAACAGGGAAAAATTCACTTTTGAATGGAGTCAGCAGTCTGTTTGCTTCCAGTTCCATCAATGTTATGTTCTTTTGTCCTAGAAAGTAAGTATTTGATTACCTTTAAAATCAGACTTGCTGTATTCAATTCTGCAAGAACTACAGCTGCAGAATATTCCTGGAATATAAGTAGAGGGTCTTGCCATAAAACCCTCCTAACTTTAACACCCCAAATATTCTGTGGCTGACCTTGGGTCACCTTTAACATAACTCTTCTAAGTTTTGTGGTTTGGGTTTACCTTTAAAATTGGTGGTAACAGGCAGTGCCTTATCAAGGTAGACCAAAGTTAAAAGAATTACTAGTTCTAATAGTATGGTATAAAAAGCCATCAGAACTGAGGGACCAGATATGCTATTTTGACTAATCTCAAGCTGTTTAACATTTTAACTGGCATTCTAACAGGTAGAAATTACTGTTCTGTGACCTGTCAAAAGGACAGCCCCAGTGTATAGGGTGGTTCTCCTCTTCTGGCATAGCTGCTGCATTCGCTAGGCAACATGTATAGCAAATACCACTGCACAATACACTGACTTGGGAAGAATGTGATGCTAGTAGTTCAGTGTCAGTTCTTCTCATCCTTCCTTCCCTATCCAAAGTGTTTAATAAGACCCTGTACAGAGAAGACCAAGCAACCCGGTGTCTGCTCTCACTCCAAAGTAGCTGGGTCAGTTGTCCCTATACCTTTTGGCAGGATGAAAATGTCACCACACTCCAGCTGCACCAACTAAAACAGTTGTCCTCAATCACAAAGAGTGCAAAAAGGATCTGGAAATTTGCAAAATACTACAGACTCAGATAGACACTTGCTTACCACGGATTGTGCTTGTGGCTCTATGAGGCATAGAAACCATGTTTTCCTTTGATCAAGCTGGTGCCTCGATACTTTAGCCTAGAGTCACATTGGGTGGAAGTGGATTCAAGATCCCGCAAATCAGAGGGACTTCAGCATGATCCTAAACGCATCAGTACTCTGGAGTAAGACCTGCTGAGGTCAGGAGGACTTGCTGCATAGCAAGTGTGATTAGCATTGCAACCTCTTCCAGGAAAAAACAGGACTTAATACAGGATTCTGAGTTATCACTACTTAAACATGCTTCCACAAATATACTAGTTTTCTCAGATTTTTTAAAGGGATATGGGAAAACACTTCCACCTTACAGTGTACAATTCTTCTTAAACAGAGGTACACTAAGGAGAAGCTCATACCTGTTACTAAGCACATGCTTCCTTTTCATGAAGGTACAGCTAATACAACTTTATCCATCATAAGGACAAGGCCATAATCCTAAATACACCCACTTGAGAGTAAATTCCATTAAATTCAATGGATTTATATCCAAGCAAGGATGGACTCGTTTGCACTGTTAAAGGGTTGAGGCTACTTGAAGGGAGAGCAGAAAGGAGCTAAAAGAAGATACGTGAGTAAACTGGTAGAGCATCTTCCCAGCTCATACCAGTTGTGTTGTAAATTGTAACTCTGTGCACTTTATTGTTTTGTTTAAGAAATGCTTCAGGGATTTCCAAATAATCAGATATAGTGGGACTCTTCTAAGGAATGAAGTTCCATTCATTACCAAAAGCAGCTGAAATGTCTGCTTGAGACTTCTTGTAAACAATTCTCTTTCTGGTATCAAGATAAGGTACAATCCTAAGAGTATAACATAAAAACCTCGGTTCTGAAAATATTTGTGTAGCTGCACTGATTTCCCACCTCCCCCTACCTCCAGAATTTTACACAGAAAAAAAGATGTGTTAGATTTGGAGGTTGGCTTTTAATGGTTCTAACATACAGGCTGGGATCCAAAGAATTACACAAAGAACATCCAAGGATTTGGCACATGGTTTAAACATGTGCTTACTCATGAGAAATAGTAAATATAAGGATGTCCAAATTCTATAAAATGACAGTTTACTTAATTCTCTCCAGGGTCTTTTTGCAACTCAGAATTGTAATATAAGAATTACCCCTTGGAACCTCACAGCTGAACTGATAAACAGTTAAGGCTGAATTGCTAAGTGTACTGTTTAGGAAGCATCTATGTTTACATGCAGTGAAACATCCTCCTGAGGGAACAAGAGGCTGAATCCTAAGCATACATACTTGAAAGTAAATTGCATTGAAAGCAGGAGGAGTTGTTTGCAAATCAACATGGACAGAATTGGCTTTAAATGCTTAGCTTGCAGTGCCTGCTTTTAGAAACAACAGACTGGAATTTACTTTTAACAAATGAAAGGTTAAGAATGACAGTGTTCAAATTATCTCTGGATGGCCCATCCTGGTGTTTAACCTATTTAATATCTCTATCTATCCTTCAAACTTTTCCATATATCTCCTTCATGGAAGCACGGGCATATCATCTCTCATAAGAACTGAACAAAGGAACTTCTTGAAGAACTATAATAGTGTGGATTTGGGGCTAGTGTTTGTTACATAACCACTTGCAAGATGACTTACAAGGGTGGTGGTCTTCTGGTGGTATATCACCAACATTAAATGTAACAGCGCTTAAAATCCCTGCTAATAATTCTAGTATTTAGTGATGTCTATACTGCAGACAGAAGTTAATATCGAACTACTTCTGGCAGTCCCTTTAACCTCTCCTATACTTTCCACCTAGAGCATAAATTCAGCCAACATATACTGAAGTCTACATGTTACAGAATTTGGTATCTTCCCCCCACCCCAACTCCAAGCCCCCCCCCAAAATCTGTAAAAATCAGCTGCTTCTGTATAACAAAGTTCAAATGTAAAGTACGTTACAGATCAACATTTCCTTAGAATAAGTACTTGCAGAGATGTTGAGGATGGTCATGAAAGACTGAGTATTTCATTTGAGTCTCCGTTCGGTCTAAATGGGTGTTGCATTGTTGTGGGGTACAGCTTAATAGTTGTGTCTAGCAGAACCATTAAATAAAAAGAGCATGTGAAAGCACTTTTGCCCATTGAACTCAATAGACAAGAGTTAGGTATGTGTTTGGCTTTGATTGGAATCCTTTAATTAATTAATTATACAAATTGAATATCAACTTTTATATAGAAATCTTTTTGGAACACACAGTTAAAGATTAAATAGTGGAGGTAGATTCTAATGAGTAAAATGTACATTTTGTTCTTTATGTGTGTGGTTTGATTCTCATGACTATTTAAGCCACACATATTTACAGGTATGTCTTTACAAATTTACTTTTATTAAAGAAGCAGTGCAGCATTTTGGGCACCATCTATCCACATAACCAGAAACTGGAATTTTACAAAAGTCTTAAATAATTTTAAGTATTTTGCAGCACTTTACCTAGCATGATTACTGTTTTACAAACATGGAACTATTATTATTATTTTCATTATTATTATAAAAGTGGTTTGAACCATTTAATGTCTGTGTTTTTTCTTTCTGTGTTAGTTGTCTACATGTTAATAGTAAATTCATTGTCAACTTTATTTTGATTTTCTAATCTATATGAACCACTGTAACAGCCTGGAGGATCATATTAAATAAAACATTTAATCTTAAATTATCCTCCCTGATACTTTCAAAGGTTTGATAGATAAGTGCTTTTGGATTTAATCTGCAATGCTTTCTGTTGTATAGAATGGGGAGTACAACTGGGAGATTAAGGGATGAGTGGACGGACAGAAGGTAGTCTGGGAACTACCAATAGATATCTGGGTAATTTCTAGCAGAACAGCAAGCATTTCAAACCCCCAATTGCCTGGCACTGGGTACAATAAAATTACCTTTTCCACCTAAATCAGACTGCTGACCTGAAGAAAGTTGAAGTAACCAGGAATGGTCCCCTGTATGAAAGGACTGTGGACTCAGTTCATTTCTAGCACTGAATACAAATTTCCAAGTTCTGAATGTGCTCAGAGGCACCTCCTTCTTTCATTCTAAGTGTGCGCTTTTCAACCTGGCACTTGCTGTGCAGATTGTGGGGTTCCTGTTAAAAACAGCTTTGAACTTTGCCCATCCTTTGGACAGTCAATTTAAATAACAGTAAAACACAAGTGCTGAAAAATCTGGCCTTGGTTACAGTAAGAAAATAAATCCTTATGTTTTAAAGAATCAGAAATAAGCATGTGAAGTATATAAAAAGTCACTTTCTAACTGTTCACTCAAAATCTGATCTGCAGTTAAAAGGTAGCTGAAAAACAGCCAATCTATATATGTAAACTTGCATTCTATTTGCACCATGGCTGAGGAATCTCAAATTGGCACCTCCAGTGGCACCCATAAAGGGACTCCTTTTAGTATATATACATGGATTTTTATATAGCCATAGTAATAAATACTTAAGAAATCCACACAACTTTTAGCAGTTTCTGCAACAAATATTTGGTCTGCTTCATCCTTTTCTCTGTTTCCTTTTCTCTGTTTCAAAATCACAGTGCATTCAAAGCCCCTCTTCATCAGATATAAGTTTAACTGCAGAATTAGATGACTCTTATTTAAATGCATGTTGGAATAGTGATAAGAATAAGTACCAGGTAACTTAGAAATAGGACAGGAACACCTTCCTCCTTGTGACTTCACAGACTCACTGCAGTGCATGATCTTCACTAGATTATTTAGTAGGACGGTGGGGAGGGGACCCGCCTGCCTCTCAAAATTCATTAATTTGCTTGGAAAACAGGTTACATCAACTCCCAAGGTTTGGACTGGCATCATGTTTTGGTTCATATCTGCCAACACTTCAGATGACTTTCCTGTTAACTATAATGGGAAATCAACAGATGTGAGTAACTGCAAAACTGCATGGGCAGAGCAGACCACTACAGAGGAGATGCCTAATTTCAGAAAAATAGCTGTAGAGATCAGGCAGTAGCATTAAAGATCAGTAATAGTGCTGCTCCTGAAAGAGCCTGGATCCCGCCAGAAACTAACCTGAAGTCCCCATTAAATGGAATCCCAAAGTAAGGTTTCGGCAAATCTCGAGAACCTGGAAGGATCATACAAGAGAATATTCCCTGAAATAATTGGGCCCCACATGATTTGATAAAGCAGCATCTTGAATGAGGCTGAATAACACGTTGGCCATCAGTGCCGTGCCTCAAACTTGGTGATATATGTGAACAGTCCATTCCTGCCAATAGATGAGGGCTACCACCCTACTCTGGCATCTTCAAGCTGCCTACCAGGCCAGTTGTTCATGGCATAGATCATCCATTACAGTATGTTGTAATGAAATTTGTTGACAAATTTCTTCGTGGTCTCTGTGCATCACACACGGGCTTCTGTACCTGTGCCAGGGCTGGATTGGGAAAACCTCCAACAGCTCAGCATGCCGGAGTAGGTGGGAGACCCTCCCCTTCCGATTCCCAGGTATAGGATATAAGGGAGGGGTTCCCACCCACTCCCTCAGTTCCTTTCTGACTACACATCACACAGATTGGGAATTCTTCACTCCTTGTGCCTTTGCATCTGTTAAGCCCCTTCATGGTTATTTCTGCTTCTCCTTGTGTCTTCTCTTAGCTGTTCCTTTGTTCACTCTTTCTAAAGAATAAGAGAAACTCTTCTCACCAAAAATATATACTTTCCTACCAGCTTTCCTATCACCCTTCCTCTCTTCTCTCTTGTTGCCTCCCTGACTGTGCAATGGCGTCCAGGGCATTTCACGGCTGCTCCTTGTGTGAGGTCTGTCTGCCGTCGAGACGAACAGCCTCAGTGCCTCCTCTGCCTCGGCGAGGGGCAGTCAAGACTTGACCCCACTGCCAGGCTTTTAAAAAGCAAACATGCTGGCAGCAGGCAGACTGGCTTAAACCCTGCTGCTGGAAGAGGGCCCTCCACATGGCTGATTTGTCTAGGCAGGACATGGAGGAGCCTTCTGCTTCTGAAGATGCCAAGACCACGAGGCCAGGAAGGAGGACCAAGAAGATGACTGCCATGACCACGAAAATGGCCACCACCGCAACCAAGACTAGGGCCACCACCCCTCCCAAAAAGAGGTGCCACACTTTGGCCACCATTTCTCAAGCCCACAGCAGTCAGCCACCAACCCTGCAACCAGGCGACCCGCTGACCGAAGCCACTACCAATCACTGGGCCACCACCCTCGCCCTTGGTCCAGGGAGACCTCCCCTGCATACAGTTGACCTCCTGGCAGAGCACCCCAACTCCACCTCCTGTCCAAGCACCCCATAACCCCACTCTCACTGCACGATGCAGGCCCCAGGGGCCACAGGAACTTTCCCACTCTCCCTGCTTGACTGGGACCATGACATCCCATGGTCTCTGGCCTCCACCTACCTAGACAAGCTGTCGGAGCACTCCGGCTGCTCAGTTGAGCCCCTCTCTGCTATCATCACCCGCCATGAGAACCACCGAGAGGGCAAGTGAGACTCAACACCACCAGAAACCCTGACACCAACCAGTGCTGGGCCAAGCCAAGCACCCAGCAGCGCCACTACTGTGACGACAACCAACCCTGAGACTGCTGACTCCACTCAACACCAAACAAGCGCTGACGCCATGGTTTGATGCTGGCCAACCATCGACTTCACTGCCCACCACTGAGACTCTGACACCAAGTCCCCCTGTAGCGCAGGGTCTGGGCAGGATCAATACCTCTCTCTTGTTCTCTTTCCTTTGGCTTCCAGGGACTCATGATGGTCTTCAAGGCAACTGAGGGACTGGGCAGGAACCCCTCACTTATATACCCAGGAACCGGAAGGGGAGGGTCTCCCACCCACTCTGGCAAGCTCCGCTGTTAAGTTTTTCCTCATCTAAGCCTTGCGCAGGTGCAGAAGCCCATATGTGAGTGCACAGATGACCGTTCAAAGAACAACAGTTACAGGTAAGCAATCTGCCAATCACCACATATTATAAAGATGGAATTACGGAACCAAATTTACGGACTCCTGAGCTTGAAAGGTGAGATGGAAATCCATTTCATGGAACTTGCAATGCCGGAGTCCCATGCCTAATTTGACCTTTCTTTGCAATTTCTTTATTTATTTTTGGATTTGTTGGAAAGCCACCCATTAGCATTGTGCTCGCTGGGTGGCCAAATTATGAAGAGGAGGGAGCTGTAATGGTCACGCTAACCACACTTACTGTTTTTGTTTACCTAACAACTCCAATACTGCTTGCTTGTATCGGAGCGAGCAATAGAAGGATCAAGACCCGTTTCTTAAGTGTCCTACTTGCCCGAGCGACATCTTGAGCTGGTTGTTTCCCCACACATGAAAGCTGAGGATTCAGTCTCACATTCAGCCTGCTTCAACAGGCACGAGAACTTTCTTTCCAGACTAGGTGCAAAGGAGGTATTGCAAGGGCAGAAGGTCATCCAAGTCTTAATCGGTCATTGTGGACCTACAGTAGTGCTTTTTTTTGGCACCTTTTTTCGACAGATTTTCCAAGTTTTAAAAATAACTTTTGAAATTTGCTGTTTGGTCCACGTGGATTTGAATCGCTGTCGAGCATAGCAGGTCGGCGACAAAATCATTAAAATGGCGGGGCTGCTTGTGTGTCGAATCCGATGCATGCACACTTCGTCCGCACTGGTTGTGATGGCGCTGCTCGGCTTGTGGCGCTGCTCGGCTTGTGATTGGTCTTGTGATCGTGCGCCGAATGCTTACTGCGGGCGGCGACCATTATGTTTCGTTACACAACTGACGAGTGTGGGTGTACAGTGATTGACTACATGCGAAAGGTAAATAATTTTATGAGTTCCGGCACCATTTTTCTTACAAAAAAAGCACTGGTACCACTGCATCCTAACAGCGCCTTGGTTAGAGGGCAGTACCCAGCTGAACACAATTAGCAGGAGTGCCCAGGGGAGACTTAGGCTGCCAAAGGGTGGTCTAGATTTGGAATCCTGCAAAATCCCAGCTGTCCTAACACGATGCCTATCTACTCTTTGCCTGCCAAAGTGTTCTGAGTCTTAAATAATTCTAGACTTGGAAATTTAGCTTAATATTTGGATTATTGTATCATACTTAATGCGTTTTTCTTTCAGTGTTGCATATCTGAAATGCCTGTGAGATTTATGCCCTGCTGCACCATGGCTTGCTCCCTCTGGCGTTTTTTAAAAGACTGATCCACACGTGTTCTGCATTCACACAAACGCGCAAGACGCGAATACGATGAACCTGTATTTGGAAAGGAGTATGTTTGTGTGGGCCCACGAGCTACCACTCGCTTCACCTGCTACGACAGGTGGACTCTCCGCTGAAAACCCGGGTTTGCTCCCACGTCATACGCGAAACCCTTTGATCTGGAAGAGGCGCAGGATCGCCTGCAGGATCTTGGGCACGTGGCTTCTCCGTATTCTCCTTCGATCTCCCCCAAGCGGCAGGAAAGAAGATTCCGCCTGCTCGCGAGCGATCCTGGGCGGGCTCGCCAGGGGAACGTCTCACCGGGACAGCACGGTGACCTCGCACGGAAGACTCGAGAGGTGAGGACGCAGAACGCCGAGCGCTCGGTAACGGCCGCCGCCGGCGCGCCGCGTCTCCGGGGCCGCAGAGGGCGCGCCGCGCCGCGCGAGGGCGGAGAGGAAACCGGAACAGCGGAGGGACGCGCCGCCTGCGTCTCCTTCGCGGAAGGGCGGCTGCCGGCGCCGCTCTGAGGGGCGGCCTTCTCGCGGGGCGGGCGAGGCGGGCCTGGCGCGGAGAGACCGGCGCTGCGTGGAGCGTTCGCGTTTCGCGGCCGTCCCGCCGCCGCGTTCGAGGGCCGATTCCCCGGGCTGTCCTCTTCCCCGCCGGCGTCTCCCCTGCCGGGTCATGAGCGGCGAGTCGCCCTCCGCTGCGGCTCCGGGTAGGTTTTGCAGGCTGAAAAGGGGGAAAGGAAAGACAAAAGCGGGTGGAAAGGACCGGGAGGGGGACGAGCAGTTTCCTGGGTTCCGCCATAGGCTCTGTCTGTGTGCTGACGGCAAGAAATTGACACGTGTTCGTTTTGAACCATACATAGGCATTTCGGACATAGCCCCGGAGGAATAAAACCAGTAATGGGCTGCTTCAGAACATTCGGCTAAAACAAAGTCCTGCCAGCGCATTTCTGGAACACTTCCTGATCTTCTCCCCCACCCCGACCTAATATTTGAACAAAACTCCCCCTAACTGTGGGCCAAGCTACACAGAGTGCTCATTGCGTAGGCCTAGCCTGGTAGTTTTCTTTACTCCAGTGTCACTGCGTACTGTCTCGAGTCGGATCCAGGCCAGCACTTCAACCCATTTTGCCCTGAAATGCGTCCCCCAACATGCACGCACGTGTGGCCGAAACCGCACCATTTTGTTTTTTCTTTAGTGGTGTGGCTTTTTCTTTGATTTTTGTATTGCACAGTAAGAATTACACAGTAAGGATTAATTAAGAATGCACAGATATGTATGCATGGGTATGTAAAAGGAAAAAAAGGGAAAAGGTCTCCATTGAAAACTGCAGGTGAGAGCAACACAAAAATCCATGCAATACAAAAAATAATCTTGCACGTAAAAATCTGTCACACTGGGGCAGCGTTTCCAGGGTAGCCTTCTTACTAGACTGCCTTGGAAAATCATGATTTTGTGTGGGAAGAGCATCTAATCACGTGAGGCCTCACTTTCAGTCTAAAATGTGTGGGGGGTTTAAGTATTGTCTTGTTAGGTATGTATTAATATATGCCATAATGGCTGTATTCAAGTGTTTCTTTGCAGCTTGTTACTGATACTATAGGAAATGTGGACTCGATTTTATTGTGCTAGTTCATGGACAAGCAGCCTGTTTGGGCCACAGGCACTTTGAGCAATTTGAGAACTGTTCTGGGTGCAACCTTTAATTGCAGCTTGTTAAATGATTCTTTTAAACCCACAGTTCTCAGCAACAGAAACCAATTTCAGAGCAATTTCAGCTATTGATTAGAAAATGGGGGGGGGGCTTGGAAGTGGGTGGGGTGGAACAACTTGGCAGGCATAAAGGAAGGAGTCTGGCATGAATTGGTGCTCAATTCCACATCAGTGTTAGCTAATGTGTGGCAGTAATTCCTGAGTTGATTTACTACTTTTTCTACCTCTTCTGTGTTCATGGTGACTAGAGGAAATATAGGCATTTGTTGGTTCACAATTTGATCCACCGATCAGACCAAAGGTCTGTCTAGTCCAGGACTCGGTGGCAAACCAGCTGCCCTCATGATCCCTCAAGCTGGATGGGTGCAAAACCTCCAGTCACTAGCTTTGTATTATGGCCAGCCACAAGTCTGACAAAACTGCTTCTTTTGTGTTCCTATTTTGTGGTCCTGGGTAAGCAGCAGAGCAAGATGTTTATGAAACCACTAGGCTGAAAACAACAGAATGAAAATTAATGGGGACAAATGCTGAGTTTTGCACCTAGAAAGGAAACTAAATGCATCATTACCAGACAGAAGATACTTAGCTCAATAGAAGGTTTTTAGAATTATTGTAGGTCACAAGCTAAATATGAGTCAACAGTGTGATACTGAGGCAAAATAGGCAAATGCATTTTTATCTATCTATCTATTTATTTATTTATTACAGGCTTTTATTTCCCATCCTATTGCCACGCGCTCAGGATGGCTTACAAAACGGTTTTGAGCTGCATTAATAGAAATATTACATCCAAATCAAGCAAGAAGAGATCTTGACCTTCCTCTTTGTGGCAGCCTTAGATGTGCTTCTAGAGGGAGATCATGTCCCCCCTCAGTCTTCTCTTCTCAAGGCTGAACATGCGCAGTTCTCTCAGTGTCTCCTCATAGAGCAGTGTTTCTCTGTTTTTTGTTTATTTAGTTTTATTTTATTTTATTTTAGCTTTTCTACCCCGTCCCCCACTAGTGTCTTGGGATGGCTTATGATAAAGGAGTAGAATAAAACAAAACACTACAGCATCCAACAATTGAAATACTAAAAACCCCTAACCCTAAAAGCATTAAAATGATGAGAAAATAAAAAGGGTTTCACCTGACACCGAAAAGAATATAATGTTAGCACCAGGCAAACCTCTCTGGGGGGCATATTCCATAGTCAGGGCTCCTCCACAGAGAAGGCCCTCTTCTGGGTAGCCGCCCTCCTAATCTCCTTCAAGGAGGGCTCCCGGAGCAGGACCTCCACCTCAGATCTCAAGGGGCAGGGGGGCACATAGGGAAGAAAGCGTTCTTTCAGGTATTCCAGACCCAAGCCGTTTAGGGCTTTATAGGTCATCACCAGCACCTTAAATTGGGCTCAATTGGCAACCAGTGTAACCAATAGAGGACCGGAGTGATATGTGAATACCTGCCTTCCTCTGGACCCTTGCTAATTTTTCTGCATCTTTATTAAATCTTGGTGCCCAGAACAGGACACAATGTTCCAGATGGGGTCTGACTAGTGAGGAGTATAGAGGAACTACTACTTCTTGTGATTTGGAAGTAATACTTCTATTAATGCATCCCAAAATAGCATTTGCCGTTGTGGCAACTACATTGCATTGTTGGCTCATATTTAGCCTGTTGTCCACAATTACTTCAAGGTCCTTTTCACTTTTCTTGAGCCATCATGTATCGATGCATTTCTTTTACCTAGGTGAAGGACTTGGCACTTGTCCTTGCAGAATCTCATTCTGTTGCTTTCAGCTCAGCATTTAAGTTTATCAAGATCACCCTGGATCTTCATTCTGTCTTTTAGGGTGTTCGCTATTCCACCAGTTTTGTATCATCTGCAAATATTGTTCTTTGCACTTTCTCATCTAAATAACAAAGATGTTGAAGAGCACTGGCCTAGGACTGAACCCTGGGGCACCCCACTAGTTACCTTCCTCCAGTTTGAGAAGGTGCCATTGATGAGCACTCTGTGTGTCCACTTTAGCAGCCAATTTCCACCTAATGGTTTTTCTATCTAGTCCAGTTTTTGCTAGTAATTTGAAGTACTAGATGTTCTCTACTCAGCACGGGTTAGACCTCATCTTGAGTGCTGCATCCAGTTCTGGGCACCCCAGTTTACGAAAGATGCAGACAAGCTGGAAAGGGTTCAGAGGAAGGTAAACAGGAAGATTCAGGGACTGGAAACAAAGCCCTACAAGGAGACATTGAACAAATCAGGCATGATAAGCCTTGAGAAGGAAAGGTTGCAGGGAGATCATGATAGCACCGTGCAAATACTTGACAGATTGTCACATAGAGGAGGACCAGGATCTCTTTTTGGTCATCGCAAAGTGCAGGGCATGAAAACATAGACTCAAGTTACAGGAAGCCTGATTCCAGCTGAACAGCAGGAAAACCTTCCTGACTGTTAGCATAATACAAAGAAACAATGGGCCATGGAACCAATGACCTAGGGAGGTCCTGGTCTCTCCCATACTGGAGGTATTCAAGATGTGCCTGGACAGCCATTTGACTGGGATGCTTTAACTTGTAGTCCTGCACTGAACGGGGTTGGACCCGATAGCTTTTTTCGCACCTTCCAACTCAACTATTCTATAATTCTTCAAAACCCTTGATAGACTGCCTGTAACTGGATGGCACTCAGCTTGAAAGTCATAGTGTGCAGAACTTGCTGCTTTCGCCAGATGATGGGACCTGGAAGTTCTTGCCTGTATTCTGCCATATGCATTCCCTTTTTGTATTAATTGGAAACGTAAAGTCTGCAGCAGCAGAGATCCATAAGATATAAGTGCCTTTGGGGGAAGAGTGCTTCTTTCTGTCAGCTGTTTCTTCAATGAAATAAGGGATCTCTAGGGTGCTTAGCTGAGCATTACTTTTTGCTCTTGGGAAGCTCCTGTTACTGTTTTGGCTTGTTCTTCCTTTGCAGCCATGGCCTCATACACCTGCATCACTTGCCGAGTGGCTTTCAAAGATGCTGATGTTCAGCGTGCGCACTACAAGACTGATTGGCACAGGTACAACCTGAAGCGGAAAGTTGCAGAGATGCCACCAGTGACTGCCGAGAACTTCCAGGAGCGAGTTCTGGCTCATAGAGCAGGGGTGGAGGAACAGAACAAGGCCACGGCTACATACTGCACAGCTTGCAGCAAGAGATTTTCCAATTTCAATGCATATGAGAACCACCTGAAGTCGAAGAAGCACTTGGACCTTGAAAAGAAAGCTGTCCAAGCTGTCAGCAGGAAGGTGGAACTCATGAATGAGAAGAACTTGGAGAAAGGCCTTGCACAAGAAAATGACAAAGATGCCATGAATGCTGCTATCCAGCAAGCCATCAAAGCTCAGCCATCCTCGTCTCCAAAGAAGACTCCAGTGTTGCCTGGGAATGCCACTGATTCCCTGGTTGCTGAAGAAAGTAGCAACACATTACGGAGCAGGGAGCGCGCAGAGAAATCCCCCCGACTACAGTGGTTTGAAGAACAGGCCAAGAAGCTGGCCAAGCAGCAGTCTGAGGATGAAGGGGAGGATGAAGATATGGACGAAGGTAAACGGGGGAGGGTACTTTATGTCAGCAGCAGGATGTATAGCATGTGGATATTTTAGCAGGAACATCCAGGAATGGGGAGAGGAGACCATACACAGCAGCTGGTTTGAGGCACTGGAGGCCAGTGTACGTGTCACAGCCAGACTTCAGTGTTTAATTGGGTGCTTGATTGGTTTGACGGATAAACCCCATTGAATGGTGGGACTTACAACCTGAGTAAACATGCATAGGATTACACTGCACACAAACTTTGCAATTGACTTAATCAGGTAGCTTTAAAAATCATTTTTAGTGCAAGAACTTAAGAGGCAAACCTCCTAAGTGGCATTTTTAAATCCTTCATAAGGATACGTGCCATTCCTTGGAAGTTGGCTGCTGTGGCATGATGCTCGTGTTTCTGAATACTTGTTGCTCCAGAACTGTTCGTGTTATTGACCGAACCTCATGCAAGGAATCGACTTGAATATTTCAGCTGGGTGAGAAATTTGGCTGCTTGCATGACCTGCTTGGTTGCGTTCCCATGCCAGGGCCAGCTGCCTGACTGGTGCCATGGGGTGGTCGGTACTGAAGTCCATTCTGTGGAGCACCTGTACTGCATAGACTGGGGTTTGGCCACAGTGCATAGATGTGATGCACGATGTGAAATGGATTTCCCCTCGCTTTCCTCTTCAGAGAAGGTGATTAGTGGGGCATGGCAGGGAGCCCAGGGGAACTGAGCTTCCTGAGCGCTGAAGCCAAATGTCCACGACCCCAGCTGAGATTGTTCAAGTGTTTGATTTGGGCCAGTGGAGCAGCCCGTCCCATGCTGAGACCAGTCAAGCGAAGGAGGAACCGCTGCTAATGACCAGGGCACCAGCCTGCTGGTTGTCTGGAATGGTTAATGTGCACCTTCTTGGTGACACGGAAAGACTGATCTTACTTTTTGCATTGATTTGGTTTGACAGACTGGGAGGATCTGGACTCAGATGAAGATGTAGGATCTGAAGAAGGAGAGGAGGAAGGAATTTCAGATGAAGCCAAAGGGGCTGCATCTGCGAAAGATTGTCTCAGCGCTGATGCGATCCCAGTAACGGACTGCCTCTTCTGTTCCCACCATTCCAGCACTCTCATGAAGAATGTGGGCCACATGACAAAGGTCCACAGTTTCTTTATCCCAGACATAGAATACCTTGTAGATCTCAGAGGGCTGATTAAGTACTTAGGTAAGTCTGTGGGATATTCCTCACTCTTCACCAGATAAAGCTCTGTTGTTGATTTTAAAGAAGCCAGTTTAACACTCATGGTCTGATTCTCATTATGCATTAGCAATTCCTGTATTGTTTTTTAAACTGCAACCTCCAGATAGTTGTTCCCAGCTGTTTATAGCAGTCTGCTGCAACCTGGTGCTCTCAAAGAGCTTTGGACTGCAACTCATAAGATGCCTCTGTATTGACTATCCTGGCTTGAGCTGATGGGAGCCAAAGACCAAACTATTATCTATTTGGAAATACTTCCCTGGGGGGTAGAGCTCAAATTATTAAGCTGAATTTAAGTAAGGTGTAGATTTCAAAGGACATTACTAGATGGACATCTTTAAAGTTAAGTCTGTGGAGTAGGGTAAATGCACTTAAAATGCACCTAGAATTGTCTGTCTGTTTCATTTTTATACTGCCTAAATAACTGAGGCACTCTGGGTGGTTAACAAAAGCCAAAAATGCACAAACAAGAAAAAATGGAGAAGAGGCATAGCTATACCTCTTTAGCTATACCTTTAGCAGCGGTACAAGGTAAAATGCAATATTAGAACTAAAAGTTAACTGTTAACAGGCACTGAAAAGAATGTAAATAGTCTTTAAGGAGCTCATTCCATAGGCAGAATGCCACAACCAAAAAGGCCCTTCTCCCATTAGCCACCCTCCTTACTTCCATCTCCTAGAGAAGGACCTGAAGATGACCTCAGGGTCCGAGTAGGCACATATGGGACAAGGTGTTCTTTCAGATCACCTGGACTCAAGCTGTAAAGGGCTTTGTATGTGAGTACTAATACTTTGAATCAGGCCTGGACTTGAGGGGGCAGCCAGTGTAGCTGGAGGAGGGTTTTCGAGCCATTGAAGTCTGTGTTTTGTATGTTGATCATCTATGAATCCCCAGCAAATATTTTCAAAAACTTAGCACTTGGTTTTGTTTGTGATGAATCAGGCAACTTCTTCAAATGTGAGACTAGTATAAGGCATGTTTCTTAAGGGTTATCAACCAGTTGCAGGTGAGAACTGGATTTGATACACTGAACACCAGCCAAATACAAGAGCCAGTGAGATGTAACAGTTCCATTGTTGGACTGGAGACCCAGGAGAGCTGAGTTCTAAGCCTCACTCAGTCTGAGTGACTTTGGGCCAGTCACTGACTCTAAGCCTAACCTACCTCACAGGTTGTGAGGATAAGATTGAGAGGAGGAGGAGAATTAAGTAAGCCTTGAGTTCCTTGAAGGTACAAAGCTGGGTATTAATTCATTAAGGAGTTTGTGGAAAGTGAAGGGCTTTAAGGGTGGCCTTCATATTTAAGGAAAGGCACCAGTGAAGAAGAGGGTGGGAAATGAAGATTCTTGACAGCAGAAGCAGCTGTTCATATGTGTATGTACCTCGTTTGATATTTCATTACTTGATCATTTCAAACTGGATAAAAGCGTGGCTCAGTGGTACATTTGTTAACCAGTCACTAGTGTTCTGGTTTCCAAACCATGGAGTTTGATACAGGCTGTAGTGCTAACTGGAAATTTTGTTGGTTGCAGGCTGCAGAGGAAAGAAGAGTACCTTATACTAGTTTACCTTCGTGAACACACAGTTCTTTGATCACTTTCTATTGGATAAGTATATAGGATTAACAGGTTTCCAAATGAAGTCCAGTGACTTCCTTAGTAACCTTACCTGTGTTTGCCTTGGTTTTTTTTCCTGTGGGGTAGACTTTAGAATACAAAATATAGTGAAACAACTAAATATTTTGAGTTGATACAGGATCAAACCTCTTTTACCCCTGGCAATTTTACAGGAGGGAAGGTCGGAGTTGGGAAGATCTGCCTGTGGTGCAATGAGAAGGGGAAATCCTTTTACACTACAGAAGCAGTACAAGCGCATATGAACGACAAAAGCCACTGTAAACTCTTCACAGAGGGAGATGCTGCCCTGGAGTTTGCGGATTTCTATGATTTCAGGTGAGAAATGGCAGCTGCCAGTCATGCTGTTGGCTAGGAGCCATGAGTGGGGTGGTTAGACTTTGGCCCAGGTTGCCTGCATGGCATGGGAGCTGTTTTTGCATGGCCTGGCACTGTGCCACCCTGGAAAAAGTCTGCAGCCAGGCCCCTGATGGGTAAGCAATATTGCATGGCTGCTTCCTGTGGTGGTGCCAGTGGAGGAACTGTAGCTCTTTTTTCCATGGTTGAAGTGCACGAGCCCCCTTCCCCTTCCCCTAGGAAGCTTTCAGAAATGCATTCTGCAGGTGATCTGAAATAGAAAGGGACCAGCCAGGTGTTTTCATGCTCCCTTTTCCTGCATTTGGTGCCTTCCTGATTTTAATCCTCCCATTTCTGAAATGGTAGAGTCCTAAGATTATTACATGGCAATTATGCATATGAAGGCCAGCTTTAAGGCATGTTGGGAAATTTTATTAGTTACTCAGTGTATATTCCTGAACGCTGTATTCGTTTCTTGATACAGTCAGTTATCCTAATTGTATAGAAAGATTATAGAAGATTGTGAAATACCACTTTTGAGAGAGTTTTCCCCTTGGAGTTGTTGACCAAATGGTCCATGTCCTGGTGTGTGAATGCCCAAAATACACAACAGGGCAAGGTTTTCTTTTAAAGGATTTATTCTCGAAAGTAACCAGCTGCCAACAAATCGTTCCAGAGGGTGCACCTGAGCAGTCCTCAGTTGGCCCTTTTGTGCATTGGTCATTAAAGGGTTACACATGACACAGTTAACCCTTTTCAGTAGGTTACAGAGGCAAAAGGCTACAATGGTGTGATCTTCCCCACTTGCATAGCAAAGAAGATGCTGCATGGGAGCAGGGAGGATGGGGTCGGATTGCACAGCAGAGGAGGCGCTGGGCTGGGCTGGGCTGGGGTGAACTGCCCTTTGAGCTGCCGTTGCCTGTCAAGTGCCAACGAGCTTTCTCTGGAATGGTGCCTGGCGAGTGTCGGTTACATTTCAAGGATGCGCATGTGCTGATTTCTAGAAAAGAGGGTTTTTTTCTCAGGCCTGTCAAGGATTGCATGGTTTAACCAATGAAAGTTCTACCTACTGATCTGTACATCAGTTTTTGACTCTTTAAATGTGTGTGCTGTTTGGGACTGACCTGCTAGGGTTTCCCTTTAAACATAGCTGTACTCTTATTTCTCAGTTTTTCCTAATGCAAACTGGTTCTGTTACTGGTTCATAGGAGCACGTACCCTGACTATCAAGCAGAAGAGGGTGTGGAGATGTCTGATGAACGGCCGCTGGAGAAAAACCTAGAGTATGATGAAGAATCTATGGAGCTGATTTTACCTTCAGGCAAGTACACTGAAATCATCCTTCCCTGTCGCTCTGCAGTTGTGGGGAGATAGCAGGGCTAGTCCACACAGCTGGCTTCTCGATAACTGCCTGGGTGCCGTGGAGGTAATACCCTCCTGCCTTTCCTCTGAACCTTTGTGCTTTTATACTGCAAATGGTGGGACATATCTTGATCTGGGCATTAGTCACTGTGCAGATCTTCACCCCCTGAGGCATGTTGCTTGGCCTGCAGTTTGTCATACCAGAGACAAGCTTGGCATGTGTATGGAAGGAACAGAGTGGGAACGTTCTCTTAGAGTGGGAAGGTTAACAGTTGCTTTGTTTCAGGATCCCTGCCCCATGCCCCCATTCCCCCCTTAGAGGGAAAAGCTAATTTGCTAGAAAAGCTCACTGTTGGCAAATGCCATTGTCATCGCTTGCTCCAAAAGCAGGGCACCTCCTCCAAAAATATCTTAACCCCACACTCGGCACATTATTGTCCTCCTGTCCAGAAGTTGCAAAGGCCTTGCAGTCTGATCCCAGCATGACCCTAAGCAGTGGTAGTAGTGTGAAGGGAAAACTTAGGATTGCTTCCTTCTTTGATTTAGGAATTTGCATTGCAGCATGATAAACAGAATGAAGCCAGGAGACTGATAATTAACTCTATTGGGTGTGTGGATACAGAATTGTTTTATGCAGTTGCAAGGATTTTGTTCCGAGTTTCCTTGACTCATTAGGAAACAATCCTGTTGTGATGATTTTAAGCCCCCAAACCTGAAGACAGAAACTCATCCTGGTTCAAAATGGTTTATGTTCCTTTTGGTGCTGGAAAGTCTTTTCCCTTTTAATGGTTAGATTTTAGTTTCTGTTTTAATTTTTACACCGTACCTCTAAGAGTGATCAAGCTGCCGTGACTATAATAATAATATAATATTTTAATATTGTATCAATGTATTGGATTTTATAATGTATTTATTATTGCATTTTGATTTTGTAAACTACCCAGGGAGTCTTTTTGCTGATGGGTGGTATTAAAATAAAAGAAAATAATCCTTTGTAGAGGGGGAAGAAGAGTAGCTTTTTCTTTTCTTCATGCCCCCACAATTTCCCCCTGCAGTTTTGCCTGTTTGACTTTTTGTTCGTCTAGTGACAGCATCTTGGAGGGGGAGGGAAGGAGGCTGGCGGGGCCACAGGATAGCTCATCGCCCACCTCTTTTCCTCCCTCTGAAGTTGCACTCCAAGTCTCTGGGAGTCTGTGCTGCTCCTTCTGTAGTGGCTGGGAGAGAGGCCGAGTTGTGGTTCCCTTCTCTGAGGCTGGTCGGCCATCAAATCTGGCAGTCCAGGGTATCCTGTCACTCACTCTTCAGAGGTAGTCTAGGCACCCTAAGATTGCTCCCTAAAACAGGAGGGGGGTTATAAACTTTCACTAGCACTGCTGTCCACCCAAAGCTATGTGACAAACATGGGCCACAGATGAAATCACAGACAGCTGTGTTCTGGAAATTTTGAGAACAAGGTGAAAGGTCCCTGAAGGCAATTAATTAATTATTTTCAAAAGAACAGCCCGTTTCCCAAGATCTGTATCTTATAGCTGTTGTTTGGTACCTTATTCCTGAAAGTAGAGATCTGAAATGTAGGAAATGACTTGAGTGTCTGAAAATGCTTAAAATCAAGGCAGAAGGTGCACTTGAACGCCCAAGCCATTAGATGGTGCTACAGTTCTTCACAGAGCTAACATTCCAGCAGCCAGACCCACCGCCTGCTTGCTTACGTGGGGATGCTGGAGGTTGTCTCCATGATAAATATTGATTCAGGTTGCTCTTCAGAGTCCTTGGCGCATTTATATGGCCACGGATCGCCGTGCTCCTTCTTAGAATTCCGCGGTGTCAGAGCTGGGTCACAGTGTGCCTGCAGTGGGTAGGGCAGCCAGTTGTCTAAAAGGCCATGCAGCAGTGTAGGTATTTAACTTCCCTCCATTTTGGACTTGGGGGGTGGGGGGGAGACTGCTAATTGCCCAGATGCTCTCTTCCCCCACTTTTGGTTTGCTTCTGTCTTGGATGGATTGTGTCTCAGCTGGTTCTCTGGGTTTTTCCCCAAAAGCTACCCCAGATCATCTCGCGATGCATCTGGTGGGGGACTCAGGTTCAGCCCCCACTGCCACCCGGGGCCACCAAAATTCAGTGGTGGCAGCAAAAACAATCAGTGTTTTGCCACTGAGATTTGGCAGCAAACTGCTACAAAGACTCAGAAGAGCTTACTTTCGTCCATTTTTATTCCCTGTAGCAGTTTCCTGCCAAAATGTTAGTGATGAAACTATTGGGGTTTTTTGCTGATGGCACACTGGCAGGTACAAGACTGGCCCCAGCGTAGTCTGGGAGGGTGAAGATTGGTCCCTGGCCACCTGAAGATGGCTGCTATTAGCCTCCCACAAGCAACCTGGAGCCCTCTGTATTTTTTGGCCATGATGGCTGGGGTTGATTGATTGAGTTGCATTATATCCTGCCTTTTGCTTGCAAATAACTCAAAGGGGCTTATGTCATTCTGCTCCTGCTGCTCTCAGTCTTATCCTCAAAACAACAACCCTGTGAAGTAGGTTGGGCTGAGAGTGTGTGACTGGCACAAAGTCACCCAGCTGGCTCCATGGCTGAGCGGGGACTAGAACTCTCGAGATCGCCTTTGTTCCAGTCCCACACACTTAACAGCTGCAACACACTGGATCTCTGATGGGAGTTGTAGTTCAAAACATGGAAAGTACCAAGTTGCCTACGCTCGCTCTCAGCTATATGCGCTAATCTTCTCAGAATATTGTAGCTGAACAGTGAGAAAGGAGTTTAACTAGGAAAGACCTTGAGGAATACCTTCGTTAACTTTTTGATGCAGTGACTAAAACTTGTTTTTGTAAATCTAAGTTGACCAACTCTAAACCTGGCAGGATTTTGTTGATGACACGACAAGCGAACACACTGCCTCAGGCTTTTCTTCTCTGTGCTGTTAGCCAAAGTGAGGCACTAACGGATTGGGTCGGCCCTTTTCTCTTATTGACAACTAGTCATGGTTGTATATTAATTTCTGCACTATCGGAGGAGGTAGGCCTGTGCCTGCCTGTTGCTGGAGAACGCCAGCAGGCCGGCCTCAGTGCTCTTGCAGCGCACATGTGGGCTTCCCCGGGGCAGCTGGTCAGCCACTGTGTGGCTGAAACGCTGGACTAGATGGACTCTTGACGCGATCTATCATGGTTGTCACTGTCGTATGTCAGTTGTTAGTATACTGCTTATCCCTCCCTGTGGATAAAATCCCAGGTTTTCTTTCTCAGACCCTTAAATAGGTGCACAGCAAAGAAGATTCTTGCAAGAACGTTCTCTTGCTCAAGGCAGCAATTGTTTTCAGTCTTCAAAAAAATCTCAGTTCATTTACAGATGAGTCTAATTATGTTTGCTGTGCTTCTGAAAATGAAAGTGTGTGAGGGGAACTTGCACAAGCTATTAAAAGGAGCAAGGAGCTTAACTTCAGAGATGGCAGACGGCCATTAGCCCAAAAGTCTTCAGGACTGAATGTCTGAGAATTGTGTATCAGACTCGTACTACAAATGTGTGCAGATCAGTGTTGATCCAATTCTCTGGAGTGCTGTTCATTTCCCGCTTTATTGTGGGTTGGGGGTATTCATAGATAGTTGCTGGATGGTCCAGGATTAAAGGCTGAGAACCTCTGCTCCACCACTTCTTAACCTGAGTTGCAAGCCTCCATATTCTCCAAGCTGGTGTCTTCCAGATGTTTTAGACTACAGCTTCCATTAAGGCAAGCCAGCAAGGTCGATGGTTGGAGATTAGGGTAGTTTATGCAGTCAGCTTTATGCAGTCAGTTATATGCAAACATCTGGAAGGCACCACTCAGGGAAGCGTGTTATCCACTGTGCAGTTGGCTTGAAACTTCTGCCTTACATGAAGCTTGGCTGTCATACCCTTAAGAAGATCCTCGACTTCACAGGCTTGTAACAAGATGGCATAGGCATTATAATATTCTCATTTCCCAGTTTGTCTGAAAACAAAAACAAACAGCTATACTATTTTCTCTTTTGCTTTAATTCTCCAAATTCTCCTTTTTTTTTTTTTTTTTTTTTTTTTAACCAAGGTGCCAGGATTGGTCACCGTTCCTTGATGCGATACTACAAGCAACACTTTGGTTCCTCACGTGCTGTAACTGTCTCTAAAAATAAGCAGGCAGTGGGCAGAGTGTTGCAGCAATATAAAGCCCTAGGCTGGACAAGCAGTACAGGTGAGCAAGCAGAATTCATATGGCAACGCTGTCAGTAGCTCACGCCCCTTTTGCTAGTTGAAGCAGTGTCTAAAATACGTCTAGTTGGAGCAGTGTCTAAAATATGTTTTCTAAAAACATATTTCCTGGAAGGAACTGATTATAGTAACTGACTGGTGCCGGCAAATCAGTTCTCTCTTTTCACAGTAGGTAGTATCAACTTTTCAAAGAACTGATGACTCGTAAGTTCAATCTTTTAGCAGCTGTCCAGTGCTGCCAATCCTAAAAGTTCAAGTAGGTATTCCACCCCCAGTTCTCCTGAACTCTTTATATAGAGAGTGCAGTATCTGTTCAGGAATTTCTAGAGGCATCTGGCCATTGCTGGAAACAGAAGTCTGGATTGGATCCATGGTCTCATTCAACCAGGCAGTTTCTGACCATCAGTTTGCAGGAGCAAAAGGGTGGACTGCCTTGTGGTGGGATAATTGTTAAATGTTTAAGTTTCCTGGGGCACAGATTTAATGCCTTTCCCAGTGCAGCAGCTGCATCTTCTGTAAGGACCCCATGCAGGGATTGTGGCAGGCGTGTGCCTTCCTCCTAAATGTCCATCGGCCGGCTGGTTGGCTTTCAGAGTTGGCTTTCTCCATTCCTGCAGGAGCAGCGCTGGCCCGTGAGCGTGACATGCAGTACCTCCAGAGAATGAAAGCGAAATGGATGCTGAAGACCGGCATGCAGAATAATGCTACAAAGCAAATGCACTTCCGCGCGCAGGTCATGTTCTGAGAGTGCCTGGAGAGGCCCGGCAAGGGCCAGCGCTTCCTTTACCGCTTGGCAACAGAATGGAAGAGTCAGTGGCTGAAGACGGGGGCGCTGACAAGGAGGCTGGTGGCCTGTGGGCAGCCGCACACACGCGGCTCTTTCAAATGCTTCCCCAGGGAGATTTTCTAGTCCAGCAGAATTTTGCCTGTCAGATCTCAGATCAGTAAAGGTTATTGCGTACAAAGTGGGCATCGCTGTTTAGTCGCTGTACCAACTCCCAAATGTTTATACTGTGCAGCTGGAATTGGGTTGATCCTTTTTTTGGTTGCTTTAAGGTAATTTTTATGCCACTACAAGGCGTTTAAAGTGCTTCATATATATATTGACCTCATTAAATCATTCAGCAGCACCATTTAGGTGAGTCTGCATTGTCTTAGATGGTTTCTTTTTTTTTTGGTTGTGGGATGGAGGCTGGAGAAGAACCTGAAACCAAGAACTTTTCTATTTCACATCCATCTGCAACCCTACACCAAGTATGTGAGGGAGAATCCTCAGCAGATCAATGGAGAATCAAGATAATACAACCTTGAGTGACTGGATTTGCCTGAATTCTGCTAAGATCTGGCCCCTGAATTCAGACCCAGCAGTAGTGTTAACACTCCCTGTAATGATTTAGAGTGTTATGAGTGTGTTCCTTTAAAAGCTGGCAAGTTTCAGAAGGGCGCAAGGGGGATAAAAGGGGGCGATGAGTGAGTGAGGTGATTGGTTGGTGACTGTGTATGGGCAGAGCTTGGAAGTGTGTGAAGAGAGGACGATGGATACTATCCGTCTGTCAGCAGGTACAGTCAGTTGGAGCCAGCCAGGGTCTGCAGGATCGGCAGGGGCAGCCTCCTTTGAGGGTCCCAGAGAGCGCTGTGGAAGGCACTTGAGAGTCATATGGACAAGGAATTCTTGGCAGACATAGTAGTGACCAGGAAGAGTCAAACCCTGACATTGTCAGGTCTTGTAAGGGTGTGTGAGAGAAGCTGACGGAGACCTGCACGCAGGAGAGGAAGGTGGATCTGTGTGTGAGGAGCGTTTGAGAAGGGAAAGAGTGAGGTACCTCAGGCATGATTATACATTGTTCTACTCTCTAAGGTTACAGAACATCTTGAAGCCATTCCACTTCATATACATATAAAGTTTTATTTTATTCATGGTTAACTCAGAGTTACAGGCTGTTTGAATATCAGCATCTCATCCTCAAGACCACATAGTCCAGCCTGGATACAATATTGAGGGGGAGGTTAATTAATGGGATTGGAATTAAATTTCTGGTGGCAGCATTACATACACAGAGAAAGAGAGGGAAATATCAAGAAAATGAAAGACACACCATGTCCAAACAAGTTACAGAAGTGTACTCATGACACTTCCCATCTTGCTTGCCAAGCCCTGCCTGTTGCACATGTTGACCGAATGGTCCATGTCCTGGTGTGTGTATGTCCAAAATACACAACAGGGCAAGGTTTTCTTTTAAAGGATTTATTCTCGAAAGTAACCAGCTGCCGACAAATCGTTCTAGAGGGTGCACCTGAGCAGTCCTCAGTTGGCCCTTTTGTGCATTGGTCATTAAAGGGTTACACATGACACAGTTAACACTTTCCAGTAGGTTACAGGGGGCAAAAAGCTACAATGGTGTGATCTTCCCCACTTGCATAGCAAAGAAGATGCTGCATGGAGCAGGGAGGATGGGGTCGGATTGCACAGCAGAGGAGGCGCTGGGCTGGGGTGAACTGCCCTTTGAGCTGCCGTTGCCTGTCAAGTGCCAATGAGCTTTCTCTGGAACGGCGCCTGGCGAGTGTCGGTTACATTTCAAGGATACACATGTGCTGATTTCTAGAAAAGGGAGGTTTTTTCCGTCGGGCCTGTTTGTTGGTCAAGGATTGCATGATGATACCTGTGTATATACCTATTGATGTGTACATCCCACTGGGATGTTGAGAAGGGTGCATGTTATTGGCAGCCACATGGAAACGTTTTGGTATCCATCGACCGCATGACCACAACTGTTCATGGGTTGCCATGCAGTGGCATCCTCGGTGAAACGAGATGGACAGAGCTGCCTCGTTCTGCCCTACTGACCAAGTCGGTTCTCTGTGTGTGCCTCCCGGCACTGCAGCAGCTCTGCTGTGGCTACAAGTTTGTGCTAAGTGTGCTTTCCTTGCACCATTGCTTGGCGCCGTGTGCTGTGCTATCCTAACACTGCAGCAGACTGTGAGTGTGTGTGTGGAGGGGGGGAGTTTGACTTGGCTCTGTTCAGGTGACTCACTTCGTAGACCTTCCATTGACCACGCCTCAGATTTCTCACTTGAAAACCTTTAATAACACCATTGAACAGAAACTGACATCTTAGTTGGAGGAACATTTTTCAAGAGATAAACCAGTCTGATTTCATAACAAGTGACCTTTCTCATTGCAGTGCCACTTTGCATACAATTAACATTTATCGCACTCAAACTGTGCATCTCCAGAGGATGAAAACAAGGAGAATGCAAATTAATAACAGATGAGGCTGCTTGAGCACTGTGTAATAAGGCCTTGTTCATCTTTTTTAGCACAAGAGTTTATATTCATTTGCAGTGGAACTCTGCTGCAGGGTAAGTTTTAGAACTGGGATAAGGAATGCATGGCTTTCGAGATGCTGGAAAGGAACTCCTCTAATAACTCGATATTGGTGAGACTGGCTGGGGCTGATGGGAATAGCAGTCCAACATCCTCTGGAAGGCTATGTTCTCTGTGTTTTAGAATATTTTTATAGTTTCCTATGCAAAAAACGTGAATTAAGAGAGGTACTAAAAATATATTATCCATTGCCACTTCCTTCCTGTCCCTTCCCACCTGTTCCAAAATATAGAATGAAATGAATTTAATGAATTCATAAATGAAAATAATCTGAAGCACTCTTCCTTTTTTGTAGTAATGTTGGTGTGCAAAAGATGAAGTTCTTACCTGTTATGCCAGTCTAGTGTGAGATGCTTAAGTGGCCTGCCTGTTCCAAAGACTGGTGAACCAGCCAGTGGTGGGTAAAGGTGAGCTTGAGATGAAAGGAAAGACTATTGCCACGCCACTAGAGGTTCTGCGTCAGGTTTTGTTGGTAGAAAAGGTGTGAAGAGGCTCTACAACACCTTGAGGAAAGCAAGTGCCTCTTGCTCCTGACCATCACTATACCTGCTCTTGGTACTCTCGCAGAGATTCCTCCAACTACTTCCAATAATGCCCCAAATTCATTTAGAACATAAGCAGAGCCATGTTTTATCAGAGCAAGGCTCCATCTTGTCCAGCTTGCTGTCCATCCAGTAGCCAACCAGCTGCCTTTGGTGAGGGTCTTGGTCAAAAGCCTTTTGGAAGTCTATTGGATCATGTCTACTGGATCACCCTGTCTTCATGTTCATGGACACAGTTCTAAAAGGTTAGCTGCACAGAATTTACTCAGAAATTAGCCCAGCAGCTGAAGAGTGGAAAAGTAAGTTGGCTGACTATGCAGTGATAGCAAAACTAACTATCTAAAGAGAACTGATCAAATAATTTAATGATAAATGGAAATTTTACTATATGCAGTTCAATCAATACAGAACAAAATGAAGCTTGTAAAATGTTGCTGCTGATTTATAATTGACTCAAAGTGATCGGAAAATTTATTGGTTTAGAGGATTATAATTCTCTTTTTTGTGAGCTCCAACAAAGTACTGATGGACAGAAAGAAAATAATGGTGGGAGGGGGGAATTTGCTAGGTTATGATTTTATATGTTATACTTGTGTAAGATCCCTTGACATTCTTATTTCTCCTTTACATTGTCTTTTCTGTACTCTATTTCTTTTAAGAAAACAACAAATCCTTCTCTCTCTCTCTCTGAGAGTTTTGTTGTTTTCTTAAAAGAAATTTGTGTGTGTGTGTGTGTGTGTGCTTGCTCAGATTGTGTGGTCCTCAAAGAGCCTCTGCAGGCAGAAATACGTTGTGGAAGATAATTCTTCACTGATGAAGAGGTTGGATAATTCCCAGTAAGGACTTGAGAGGAGCCCTGTTGGATAAGACATAAGGTCCGGCATGCTGTTCCAACAGTAGATGCCTCCAGGAACCTTGCAAGCTCCTGCAGCTGAACGTTGTGCAAGACGTGCAGAGCAGTGCTGGCTTCTGGTTTTTCAGGGCCCTTGAACAGAGCACCCGCAATGCAACTTTTCCCTCGGCAAGTCTGGATTTATTTATAGAGCCTTGGCCACCAGGCTCTGTAACTCCTCTCTTTTCTTACCACGGTATCATTTGTTTGCCCAAAAGGCAGTTCATGAATGAGTGGACAGTGTCCTCCACCCTTCCTCCTTTACCCCACCACCATTGTCCAGGTCAGAGCGGACAGGCAGATGGCAATGGGAAACAAGGGATCCTCTTGTCAGTGGATCCCTGCTGGGGTGAGGGTCCTCGGTGAGAGCCCAACCATGTCTCCACCAGGCTCCAGCGGTTAGGTCAAATTTAGCACCAGAATTAGAAAGCAATTTAGTATTGCAAGCATGCAGAAAATAATGCTTTGACCAGGAAGCATTTTCAACCATGTAAGAAGCCTTGTCAGAGATGGAAACACAGGTAACCGGCCTACTCTTCATATTGCCGTATCAGCCTATTGCCTGCTAGATTACCTTCAGCAGGAGTGGCGTCTCCACCTACTGCTGCTTCAGCATTCACGATCTCGGAGAAATGTAATATTATTCCTGCAGCTGAGCAGTATTTAAGAGCCATTCAGCCCGTGACCTTAACGTCTGACTTCCCGTCCACAGGGAAATTAGCTGGGTTGCCTCTTTCCTTGCAGCATTCTCTACCTCTCCATAAATAATAGCATGTAACCGGTGGCTCATGTAATGTGATCAGTGAGTCAGCAATTACGCTTTTGCTTTTCTTTTCTTTTTTTGGCTAGAGCCCATCAGCTCTTATCTACACTAGCAACTTAAATTTTCAGGGGCTGATTGCTCATTGACTACTGAGAGCTCCTGCAGCCTCCATGAGAGAAGGTAAAAAAATACTCCACAGCTCCGTACAAAGGTCGAGGAACCCGTTAGTGCATTTCCACACTAGGGGCAATGGTGGAATTTGGGGCTCAGCAAAGCAGCCTTACTAAGAAGGTGCTAGAATGGAATGTATTCTGCTCTTGCCCTGGCAATGTAGACTTTGATGCCTTTGTTGGGGGACCATGGGAAGGGCTGCAGAGATGAGCACTTTCCCTTTGAACACTTGCATCAGCTGTGGGTTGTGCAGCGCTCTGCAGTCATCACCGATCCAGCCACCTTGCACCCAAGGTAGAGGGCCTAAGCACCAGGACCTGAAGGCTAGCTTCTCTGCAGGCAAGTCAGTGTAGGGTCTTTAGAGTCCTTTTCTGTCTTGT